GTAAGTTATGATTTTTGGTTATTCAATTGTATATATATAAACCGAAAAAAAATTATTTTGTTTCATATCCTCCACGTGCAAAATTTTAAAAGGCTTGGCAACCTATGTCAAGCAGCAACTGAGTACAAAGGTTGTAACTAGAAAAGATAATTGTTTGTTATACTTCTTTATATACAGTTCTATGTTTTAAGAAAAATAAGTTTAAGTACTTATTTCTAATTAGTAATAATCTATATACATATGTAATGCATTATAACTGAAATGTGACTATTTTACAAAATACTAGTCTACTAAAATACAGCCAAGACAGGTCACTTTGTAAAGACTAAAGGTCAGTTTTATATTATTGGATATGGTAACATGAAAGCACATGTGCTGCATCATTGTAACTTCTGTATTGTTAGCTAGGCATGGCTGAAAGGTCAATATAATAAAAATAATAAATACATATAAATGTATAATGTTATGAGATTTAAGGTATCTAGTCTAAACGTATGTTTTCGTGTTATAATTTGTTGTCATTCTAGAACGAAAGAGGCATAATTTATATTTATTTCCTACTTTTTTTATGGTGGTTACAAGATTGGTCAAATCTACTGAACCTGTACAGTGAATGAAAATAACAAATAAAATATGAAAGTTTTTAAGAAACATTTAATAACTATCTTGACATTATAAAAATTTTGCATGTGAAATTTGAAGATTTTATAATTCATAAAAGTATTTTCAGTCTTAAAATAAAAATTAATTTGAATGTTGGATAGGCAACGTGTGAAAAGAAAAAAAAAAGACACAAGAAAAACATTGCTTAACAAACCTTAAGACATTATAAAATAAGTTGATATTTTGCATATGAAAGCATTGTAATGTTTACTGATAATCTGCCAAATTTCATTAGATATGCTTACTAATCAAAAAGTTGTAGCATGAAAACTATAACAAGCATAAAATAGTTACAAGGTTGGTCTCAGGGACTGAGCCCATACTGAAAGAGTTAAAGGTTATAGTATTGAATCTATAATGAGTACAAATGGTTACAAACTTGGTCAATTCGACTGACCCCAAGTTGTAGAGTTAAGAGATTATACATTTTTTTTTCTTACAAATATACTTCCATTAACTGTTTGACTACAACAGGACTGGGTACATTGCACCCAGTCCATAACCACCAAATTAACCATGAGAGTAAATGTACTATAACTTCTTGTAATGTACATGTATCTTCATGGACTTTTGCAGATTATCAGTAAATGTTACAAGACTTTTGTACACAAAATATCAGGTTTTATAATTAAGTATTAAGTTTTTTCAATTATTGCTTGTCAATTTTTACTTTTGGAATGCTGAGTATACAACATGCAAGGTAATTTTGATTTTAAGGTTAAAAATACTTTTCTTCATCTGAAAATTGTCAGATTTCATTTGTATAATATGTATAACCTCCTAAATAACTATCAGACGTTTTTTAAATAAAAACTTTATATTTTATCTCTTATTTTCTCTACTTTAATTCTATATGGGGTTAGTCAATTTGACTGACCTGGTAATCACCATAAAAAATTTGGAAATAGAAAACAATGGATCTCTACTACTTATGCAAAGCCTCATCAAATTTTGCATGAGGAGGGTGTGAAAAATAATTTCTGTAGGTTTTATATATGAATTTTGAAATAAAAAATTATAAATGTCTGTATCGATACCACAAAATTCCACTGGAATTTATCATTCTTCCTAACAAACTAAGTTGTATTTGGGTCTAAAAAAAATCTCATTTCCAATTAGCATATTGCCTTGATCACTACTCTTAAACTCTGCAATGGAAATGATGGCTTTACCCAAATGAATACTTTAGGAAGACTGACAGAATTATATAGTTCAAAATGAGTGCTTTTTATTGGTTATAAACATATGATTGAGAGAATTGGGTGTAGATAAACAACTATTTTCAAAAGAGGAAGAGGTGGGTGGTGAGCCAGTGTGGTGGATTTGCTAAATATAATGATATCTCAAGAAATAGAAAAAGTAGTCAGTTCTTATTTTATATTCTAACTTGTCAGTATTGGTTATTTGAGTTTCTTAGTCATTAAAAACTGTAGGCTTTACATTTTATGATGTCCTCAATAGAATCTGAGTAAATGCAGAAGATGTACCATATGACACACAAAAATCAATATTTAGCTATTTTTTAATACTTAATTTTGAACTAAGGTAATGTGTAATACAAAAAACTGAATTACAAACTACAGTTTCATTCCAAATGTGTGGGCAATATATTCATAAAATAGTAGTTTAATGAAATTTTGAATGCAAGTCTACAAAATGTAATGATGTGCTCTGATCCCAATTTGTATGGAAGGGGTTAAGCTGTTGAAATAGAAATGTAAAATAGATTTGCTTTGGAATTTAGAAAATTAAGAAAAAGACTATCCTACATTATATCATGAAGTATCTAGTATTTTCAAGACAGTTGCACTGAATATATACAGTTCATATCAGAGTAATGCAATGTATATTTAGCTCAGAAAACTGCATTTTTCTATCTTTTCTTACAGTTCATTAACAAATTTCCTTTATAGATATGACAAGAACACTTATTTTGTTGCAGTTTGTTATTGTTTGAAATCTCTAATATGACCAAGTCACTGAAATATTTTATGAGAATTGGTATTCATTATAAAGTACTCGCATGTCTCCTTTTCGAAGTTATTATTGAAGTTGAAGTGGGTCTAACTAAACATAACTAGTGATGTGGTTGTGTGGGAAAATTAATATAATTTTAATTTTGTCTAAAAGGGTATGAAAACTTATTTGGTAATACACATAATAATAGCATAGAAAGAAAGTGAATTATTTCTCTAAAACTTTATTGTATAATTGTGAGACTGTGTAGCATCAAAAAGCTTACCTTAACTGTTATGTATGGCTTAAAATATCTGACACAAAATTAAAGTTTTATATCCTTAAGATTTAAGGAGCAAATTAGTGTTTGATAAATTCATAAACCTTGTGTGAAAATCAAGTGTGTCTAGACTTTAGAAAGCTGTGTCATTTTGTGCAGGTTTGATCTATTTGTGATGCATGATTTAAAAATGTATTTGTACTTTGTAATTTCCAAATATTTACTTGTTTTTTCATCCATATTCGAAGTCTTGTGTTTCAGTAAGTTTTTTTATGTATCATTGGCTTCACTAGTTATACTTAATGTTAAAAGCTTAATTAATTATATTATTTAAAGCTTACTTTTACTGTATTATTTTGTTTAAATTTGTACAGTTCTTTTAAAATGAAAGTCTAGGTAGAGAAAACTGCTGGATTACAAATTTTTATGGACTGCATATGCCCTTAGAGCTATGAAAACCTGTGTTACCAGGGAGAATGCCATCCTGAGCTCAATGCACAGAAGAATTCCATAAAAATTTTAAATCTAAATCTGTACAATGGATCATACGGGTAAAAAATAAAAGAATGTAATACAATTTGTGAGTTACAGCTAAATACTAGGAATTTAATAATCTTTTTGATCCACAGGTAAGTATAAATTCCACTGAGTATAATGAAATACTTTTGGATTATAGATACTTTGTTAGTGGTTTGTGTTACAACCATTTCCAGTGTGGAACATCAGAATAGTTTAAAGATACTTTGATATTCACATTTCTATTGTACCTGCATATATTGATATGCTACACCTTTTTGTTTTATAGAATGTCATTACCTGAAAACTTTCATTGCTGTGTGTTGTGTGTGTGCCACTGAAACACGCATGTTATGATTTGTTTTTGTGAAAGTTATAAACATGCATGAATAAAAACATTATAATTGAATGTGGTGAACAGTTCTAAGGAAGATGAAAAGCTTATCATGCCTTAAGTTCGGTCTATCTTTGTAATATTCTGTTTATGCAACAAATTATTTTTATTTTTGTTAACTTAAAAGAGCTTTGTTTAAGTCAGTTTTTCCCAAACCTTTTCTTCAAGGTTCACCTGCAGCAACTAGAAAAAAAGAGGCATTCCACTAATTACAAAGTTAGAATAAATAATACACACAAAGAGCATAAAAGCACGCAATGGCAAATAAAGTGATTTTGTGTTTTCACAGTGGAATGGTTGTTATAATGCACTTTGCTGTAAATGTTTATTGTTTTTAAATGGCATAGAAAAGTAAAATTTGTTTCAGCGCACTGCCAGCTCACTTGTGATGTACTAGTGTGCTGTGGCTCACCTTTTGGGAAACACTGATTTAAGTTTATAATGTGAAATTAGCAAATGTTATTTTATAAAATAATGGACATTAGATAAAAAAGTTTCTTGTTGAGGTTAAGAACAATTATACATTTCATTTAACTCTTGCATAGATTGAGGAGAAAGCTAAATGTTTCATACCTAAGTAAGCAGCTTTTTGTGAATGTGGATATTTTATTGTATTTTTTTTTATAAGAACATATTTCAGAAAGTACGTACACATTTTAAAATATTTTTAAGTTTTTGTGTTTATTTTTCAACAGGGTAGGAAGTTCCTCAGCTTTCTCTTCCATTTGAATATCAAGTTCATTGAAACACTTCATAAGGCTATTAAAAAGCAACTTCCCAGCTGTTCTTTGTAAGTATACTCTTTAGTGTTGCTGTTCTTTTGTGATATTATAACTTAGATGTAGTGTACACGAGTCATAAAAATTATAGTTTTACATGTCTGTATATAAGATATATTAGAATCTTCATTGAAATTTAAGAAAAATAAAAGTGTTGTGTGTTATTAATTACTTGTGAAACTCAAGCTCAGATAAGTGATGTATACAGATTCTGGCCTATATGCTGTTCCTCTCTTGTTTTGATTTAGGTCATGAATATGGATTATCATATCTGTAAGAGTGGATTAGTGAATCATGCTACTGGTATTGTTGACATGCCATTGTATTGTGCTACTTATTACCCTGTTGTGAGACATTTGATAACAACTGAAAAGTTGTTGTCAGGTTATAATGGCAATCAGTATGTTGCATGTCAGTTTGTTTTATTTCTGAGGCAATGTCATGTCTCATTATTTAAGCTGGGATTTTGGGAAAATGTCAGATACGTGATAAGCTGTGGAATGTCACATGATAAGAGGAGCTGTGCCAGTTTTTACCCATGCACACACACTTGGATATTTAAGATAACTAGAACATTTGGTTTCTTAAACATTTTTATATCATTTTTAAATTACTAATGCTATCTAATTGCAGTAGAATCCAGAAATCCAATTAACCAATAATCATATATTTTCCTACTTCATCAATAGTAGCTCATACTTAATATATAATTGAGTATTATGTTACAAATCCATGCATATTCTATAGCCATGTAGGAGTTAGAATGATATTAACCTTATTAGCATAGTTTGAAAAAATGATTAGTGTCTGACAAATTACTATTCAAATCTGAAAATTCAGATGAAATTATAAGGATTTCAGTTTTTCTTGGTTAATTTCCATGGAAATATACAGATTGAAGTATTTTAATGATAAAAATTAAATTCAGACTTATGGTTAAAACATGATTGTGTAAGGTGTATGAATATTTGTAAGTTAAAAGTGAAAATCATAAATGTAATTGGTCAATATACGTAGTCTGTGGCATATGGTGCGAGTGATGAACAGCAGTATGGAAGCTCATTTCTGTGAAAAAGTGTATTGTTACGTGTTGTAAAGTATACACTTTCTATATGGGCTTGATAATTTTGACCAATTTTGTAACCATGTAACTGTTAAACTATACATATTATATCTTTTTATCCTTTCAGTTCAAGTAGGTCAAAGTGCACGTCATGACTTTTTACAGTTACATTCAAAACTTCGTTAAGCTACTTTATTAGCAATTGGCATCAAAACTTAGTTCATAAATCAAATTTCAATATTATATAAGTTTTAATTTCAAAAGAAAATATTTCAATAAATTCTCAATTTCCCCTTGTATGTGTGTCATGACATTTGTTCTCTCTGATTTGCCCATCCTCTATTTATTCTTCATCCCTATCTGACTCCTAAGTTCAATGTAAATTACTCATTATAGTATAGATATTAAAAAGGTATTGTCAAATTTTTATCGCCTTCAATCTTTGTTTACAGAGATATAAACAGACCCATCTGTCACATCCTTTCTTTCTTAGATTGCCAGTAATTTTCACTGATGTTTGCTGTTAAATTATTTATAAACAATAGAAAAACAAAGTTTTAATTTACCAAATGACCTATAGATTTTAGTTGTTTCACCTACAGGTTGAAAGTTGCTATTGCTGAACTCGCATTGATCAGTTAAGGGAGTTATTTTAAGGCACTTTTGCTTTAATTAAAAAGCCAGTTAAATTATAATAGTTATAGGACATTGTTTGCTTTGTGTGTGTTGTTATTTTTGTTCTAAGGTGCATAATTGAAATAAATAAAAATTATTTAATGTACTGATACCATCATTACAAAAAAAAGTAGTCTTAAGTTTCATTAGTAGACTGACAGCAAAAAAACAAGAGTCTAGATGTGAATACTAAAGTACTTGTTTTATATGTATATTTGTTAGCTATTGCTATAAAATTAATTAAAATATAAAAATTAAAAACTTAGGTTAGATTAATAAAACAATAAAAAATTTCTTCCCCGAAGTATACTCACTGTTAGGTTGTGCATTATGTCATTCAATGTGGTAACTTGAATCATGTGTTTGCCAAGTAATTTATAGCTTTTATCTCAGGAATATTAACTAATAAGGTACAGTTCAAAAGGAAATAAAGGAATCAAATTAAATAGAAACACGTGTACACTCTTACAAGCCTTAAGATATATATGGTAAATAATTGTAGTATTCTGTTACAATCTGGAGTCATTGTAGAAAGAAAAAACAGAGTAATTTTGATTTATTTCATATTTTTTGTAGTGGTTGCAAAGTCAGTCAAATCAACAGTTTTTATAGAGTTAGAGTAGAGAAAATAAAGTTTTAATGAAAAAATAAGTATTTGATATTTATTTCGGAGGTTTGAAAAGTTATGAAAATTTGAAAACTGTTAGGTGAAAAAAACTTTTTAATTTTAATGTGAAAATCATTTTGCATTTAAACTACTAAACACTGTTTCTGTATATTCACGGACAAATCTTTAGTAAAAATACTTAATCAAAAAATCTTATTTTTTATGTCAAAAAGACTTGTAATGTTTAATAAGGGTTGCAAGATTTGTGAAGGTACATGTACCATATAGAAAGTTATTTTCATGGTTACGTGGTGGTTTCAAGATTTGTCAGAATGACTGAGCCCACATTGAGAGTTAATGTAGTTGATGTATCTTCATGAAATGTGATGACCTTTTAGTAAACATTATAAGTCTTTTGTGCACAAAAGGATCAGAGTTTTTAAGTAAGTATTTTGTTTTTACTGAAGCTTTGTCTGTGAATTTATGAAGTCAGAGTATGACTATTCTGAGTGCAAGTTATTATAATTCATATGTTTCAATTAAGTAATTTATCTATTTTTCCATTAAGGAAATTTTTGTATTGTTGAAAATGATCAGACAGTTTTTGTTTTTCTCTATACTTGTGAATGTTTCAAATCATAACTGTACTTCAATGAATCAGAATAACTTGAGTGATAAAAGCAGTATGTAACTTACCCAAATCTCTAATCTTTGTATGTGCTAATAAAGTAAATTGTTGAATGCTTTTATAGGTGTACTTACTGCTTTACAGTCATTATAATGCTGAAGTTATTGAATGTTTTATGAAAGTATTTTGACTTGCAGACTACTGTGCTTTAGTAAAGAAGTGAAGGACAGGATATACAATATATGTTCTAGATTTTGAAGCTGATAATGTAATAGGCAGAGTTATGTTAGGAAATTCGTTCACAAGTACTGATACTTGAGTTAGTACATAACAGAGGTGTCTTTAAGCCTGATCAAAAAATTTTAAACTGTTGTCAATATTTCCTTATTAAAGTACTTTCCTTTGTAATGTGAAATTGCAAGTTAGTCCCATTTCAAAGTGCAGTATATTAAGGTAGCTTTTCACAAGAAAAAAATGTTTTTTCATTTGTTTTGTAACTGGCTAATTTTTCTAATACAACAGTAAGCTATACAATTTTTTGTCAGAAGAAATAAACCTGTTATTTCAAGTGTTATATCTGTGCTATTTCCAGGAACCAAGCAGAAATGTATGGAAAAGTGTATTTTCGAGCTTGGTTGAATTCAACAGGAACTTATAGAGAGGTATTTGTGTTTTTATCACCTTTAGAAATAGCATTAATTTGTTGAAGAATCAGTTTTTGAAGGAACACAAACATATATACAGACTGAAAGTTATAAAACAAAATTTTAATGATGTGTCATTAAATTTTGTTGAAACTGAACATCAAAAATGTTAACACAACAAAGTCACACTTTATACTTGTAATGATCAAATACATTATTAGTAACTTTCATTAACAGAAATGTAATAGTCAAAAGTAAACATGGTAATTCCTAATACATGCATATTCTACAATCATAACTCAACCTTGCATATCATGTGAGAGTAATGTTAAACCACCGTAAACTAGGTTTTGAAGAATTGGTTCTTAAAGGGACACAAGCGTTAAAAGTGACATATATATAAAGTAAATATAATTTACAAATTATTTTGATATTTCATTAAATATGAGGCTAAAAAAATATTACTACAAGCCCGAATTTAACTGTCAAAAGTAATTTTTTTATATATTGCAGGATTTATTGTAATAAAGAGTGAGTTGCATTTTAAATTTTGTGCATAGAGGTTTCTTAATAAAGATCTACCATTTTTACTTGAGATGTGTCATTCTGCTGTGTAAACTGTGTTTTGTGAAAATGTGATTCATTTTGGAATGTTAATTTATTGCATAATATAAAGAAAGAGTAAAGGGTATGAGACAATTTTTCCACTATCATATGATTTACAGAATTACTAAATACATTTTTTATTAAAGAGCATCTGAGTAACTTAACAAATGATATACATTACTGACACAAAATTTGAAAAATCTTTTTTGTGACTTTGTTCATAGAAAAAAATTAAGCTATGGTTATATTATTTATTATTATTTTTTTTTAATTTATAGAAATTAGAACAGTTCTGTATACAAGACTTTATGTTTTATGCTGTCCATGTTCCAAGGAACATCAGGAAATCTTTGGCTCCACTTCTGAGAAGAGTACGAACTAGAATTCTTTCTTATTATTATTTAATTTTATTAGCAAAAAAGAAAATCTTTGCTTTACTTACTTTCTAACCCTTAAATTATAAGGGAGTAAAGATTCAGTTTATGAATGATTTTTATGAAATTATAACCTGCAAATAAAGATTTTAAACAGGCAAGGTATTGGAATGAAAAATCACTTTGATTATTGCAAAATATTCTTCACAGTACATTATTTAGTGGTTACATTGTGATAGTAAATTCATCTGTAATTAGTCAAAAAAGTGAAGTTTAAAGAATTATTGAGTTTCTGTGCTTTACGTTGTACCCAAAGTTTATCAACCCTACTTTTTGTATGACAACTTTTGGGTATACATATCTGGTTTATCATAACTTATAAAATTAAGGAAATACTTGGAACATATTCAGAATTTTTAACTTGACTTCAGCCAAAAATTGTTAAACTTAAACAAAAAAAAAAAGGCAAATAGTGCAAGTTGTAGGTAGGTTACAATATTTTTTCTATTTAACTAGCAAAATCTATTTTTGTAGTAATATATTTCTTGAATGTTATCCTTGATTGTGGTTTAACTCTGAAAACTGAAAAGGAGTTTTTATTTTACATTTCCTATTTTAATATTTTTGTTGTTTCTTTCCCATATTTTAATGCAGACAATTGATGTTTGCAAGGCAGTTACATTGTAATAATTAGAAATTGGTTTGTCTGAGGCAGAAGTTTATTTCCTGCTATTGCTGTCAAACACTGTTGGTAATTTTTTCTTTGTATTTTAACGTGTGTGTGTGTATTCTTTGCTCATCAAAAGTGCAATAAGATGTGTAAGGGTGCATTTTAATTCAACACAAAGTCTAGGATCTCTGATGGTATAAAAATCAGACATAAAAAGGCTTTAAAGTGTTGATCTTATTTAAAAGAAATTCACTGTTCTATCTCAAAATATTTGTGTTACTAACTTTTGCTTTTAGAATTATTTAAATATTGTCTTTTAGTTGCTGAACTGTTTTCATCATCAAAAACAACAACGTTCAGTAGCAACCATGCTGTTAAATCTCTATGATCCTATTATCTGGAGGTCTCTGAAAGTAAGTGTAATAAAATAAATTTCCTTATCTAAAAATTTGGTATTCTTGAGATATCAAAGATTTTAATTTATAAGAAACATGCTAATAATGCTATTAGTTTAGGACATTAAATAATTGTTTGTTTTTTTTGCATTTTATATTTTCTGTTTAGATAGCAAAAAATGTAGTAATAAATATAATTTTTGGCTGCATTTTTGTTACAAAAATAAAAGTTTCATAACCTAAAAAACTTAATGAGAATAGAAGATATTTGTACATTATTCCTTTGTAGTCAGTTGTATGATGTTCTTCAGCTATATTTGTAAAAATGTGTCAAGATAAATGTTGATGAGCTAATCTAAGTATTATTTTAACAATGCCTTTTTTTGACCAATAAAAAAATTGAAAAACTTTAGAAACATAGTCCAGACTTTGCTAACTGCAGGAAGAAAATGTTTTTGAAAATAAACATCTGATAAAAAGGAACTGGGATGAAAAAAATTAGTGATTGAGAGGAGAAATTTACTTTTTTGCTCTTTATTGACATTAGTTGTAACCAACATAACTGGAATTATAAAACAGAATCAAATAATATGTATACAATTTCAGTCTGAAGTTGTATATTTTTTGGTAAAAATACAAGGTGTACCATAAGTAAATCTACTTATGAACTGATGGTTTATTTAGTCAGGTGTTTAGTACAAAATATAACGTGTAACACTACAACTACAAAAAAGTGAACGAAGAAGTTTTGTGTTTTTTACCAGACATTTTCTTTTCTTAATTCATGTGTTTAAAGTGTTTGCCTTCCTGATATACACATAGTAGTGCTCTTTCCTGTGCTCTGCCATACCTTCAGCACTAAAAATTCTTTGCTCTGTGGTAAGTCTATAAGCCATTTCAGCAGTCACCAAATGCAACCATCAACAGGTTCCAAGAAACAGGAATTAAGCAACTGTAATAAGAAATTAATGAGCTGAAAAATCCGTTGGCAAAATTAATTCAGGCCCACCTGTACATTAAAAAAATCCAAGGAAATAGAATTACTGATTTCTTATGGTATTAAAATATAACTAATTTTACTACATACTTTATTTTTGTTCTGATTTTATAACTAATGATATCATCCTAGTTCAGTTTCAACAATTTCTCACTGTATGCTGTGCAGTTTTAGTTAACTCTCTCACTACAGGCTTAGTCTCAGGGACTGACCTTGTAACCATTCTGTGCTTTTTATAGTTTTCATACTAGAACTTTTAATACAGTATGCGTATCTTCAAGAAATCCTTCTGAATATCAGTAAACATTACAAGGCTTTTGTATACAAAATATTAGATTTTTTTTATTAAGTTTTAAGATTTTTTTACATAATGATTTGCTCATGCATTTTTTCTTCTCAAATGTTGACTATCAAACATGCAAAGTAATCTGAATTTTAAGATTTGAAATACTTTTATACATCAGAAAATTGTCACATTTCACATGCAAAATCTTTATAACCTTCAGATAATTATCAAAAATTTTTTTTAGAGAATCATCTTTATTTCTTATCTGTTATTTTCACTATTGTTTCTCTGTATGGGTTTAGTCGATTTGACAGACCTCGTAACCACCATAAAAAGATTAGGAAATAAATATAAATTATACTTTTTTCTTCTAAAATGACTTCAAATTATAACACAAAACCACAAATATTTAGCCTAACTAGCTTAAATCTCATAACATTATCTATCTATATATATTTATTATTTTTATTTTATTGACATTTCAGCCATGTCTGATTAACATTACAGAAGTTGCAATGATGAAGCGTATGTGCACTCATATTACCATGTCCAGTAGTATAAAACTAGCCTTTACAAAGTGACCTGTCATGGCTTTGTTCTTATGGACTAGTATTTTGTAAAAAAAGTCACATTTTGGTTATAGTATATTACATATGTGTGTGTGTGTGTGTGTGTGTGTG